TTCCAACAAAATATCAAAATGGATTTATGATAATAAATATTTCTCCTTATAATACTCAATCCTACTAAGTCCTAATTATCAACAGTTTTTTTAAAAAAATCAAAATATTTTTTTTTTTAAAGGGGAGATCGGGTTGATCCACCAAACCTGGCGGTCACCCCGGTTCAGTCCGAGTCACCCGGTTCAAGCTGGGTCACACCGAGTCACACAGTAACCCGGTTCACAGCTTACCGGACCGGTTTCCTTGACGGTTCACCAGTTTCTGGTTTGAACCGGCTAGTCCGGTCCGATTTTCAATACAATGGTTTTCAAAGTGGGCAACGTAGATGTGGAGTACTAAAAACAGCACAAGGAGAATGGATATGTGGATACAAATGTAAACTCATTGCTATACCTTTTTCAATAGCTGAATTTTTTGGCATTTTGTATGTTCTTAATTTCTGTTACTCTGAGAATTGATGCCATTAACCTCATTTTGATGGGGTGTGGGGATGAGCATCCTTTCAAAGACTTGGTTAAGAAGTATAGGCTCCTTGTGTATAGAAACTGGCAGGTTAGATTTTTGCATATGTTTAGGGAGGACTTAGGCATTGCTACCTTTTTAACAAAATCCTCTCATATGATGTGTGGAAATTTTTGCATCCTTAATCATCCTTCGTCGAGTTGTTCTTGGGTGGATTTTGATGAAGGATTCTAACTCCTTATAAGGTTATTAGGGTTTATCCCCTAAATGAATTTCAGCTTCTATTCAAAAACAGAAAAGAAAAGAAAAGATGCAGTGATTACATCAAAGGGGAGGCCAAAAAAAGGGAATTACATTGAAGGGTATTTGAGTAACTTTGATCTTATTCATTCCAATCCATTTGCTGTTTCCTTTCTTTTTCCAAATTTCTATTTCCTTTTTCAATTCATTACAATTCCTTTTTCGCCATTTTTTCTGGGTACTGAAAAAAGTTACACCAAACCAAACACTGCTCTCCTTTTTTTATAAAAAAATAAATAAATAATAAAATCTAACGCGCAGTGTCTTCCTCCTTGTCGCTTTGATTCAGTCTGATTCACTAACTCCCAGTCTGCCTGTCCAACGCAACTCAGAAATCCTTTCAGTTTTCTTGCTACAGAGTGAGCTGAATTTTCCTTTGTCATTTACTTTACTCGCTTCTTTTTCGTACTTATTGGATCAGAAGCTTCTCTTTTTTCACTGAATCGCGCGTTCATTTTCAGCATGCTTGTGAAATTTTTATTTTGGGAGAATTAAATTACTCAGCCATTGCAATTTTAAAGCATTGAATGGAATACTTCTGATTTGATTCAATTCGGGACTTACACGATGCACGCCAAGTCTGATTCCGATGTCACTAGTTTCGATCCATCATCTCCGAGATCTCCCAAGCGACCTGCTTACTATGTGCAAGTCCCTCTAGGGATTCTCACGATGGCGACAAATCTTGCTCAATGCAAGCCACTCCTGCTTACAACAGTCCCACGGAGTCCCCTTTGCACCAGTCTTACGGTCACCATTCTCGGGCCTCCTCTGCCAGTAGGATTTCGGGTAATTACAATTCTGCCTGGGGAAAGAAATCGAATCGGAAAGGGGACGACAAAGGGTGGCCTGAATGTAAAGTGATCGAAGAAGAAGGGGATATGATGGTTATTATCGTGACAATGTTGGATCGTTGAGAAGGACTCAAGCTTCACTTGCTGTGCTAGGGTTTGTTGTGATCTTCACTGTGTTCTGTCTCATCATCTGGGGAGTTAGTAGGTCTTACAAACCTCAGTTCGGTGTCAAGGTACGGGGATTGTTGACGTTTGCTTTGCCAACTCTTATCCAATTGGGATATTATAATTTTTTGATTATGTGAATCAGAGGGGCAATTCCTTTCATTAGTATTATATGGCCACTGCTTATGTTGTTCAGGAGAATATTCTTTTGTTGATAGTTGAGGGGTCCTCATGACTCCCTTATACTCAGCGCTGGCATATAAAAAAAGGGAAATTTGATTCATGCCCTCATGTGGAGTGAGAAAGGATCACTCTATAAATTTAATTGATAATCTCCGCTTGCATGTGAGTGATAATTTCATGTGCTGAGAGTGAACATGTGAATAGTGAGAAACTTGGATAATTTTATATTTATTTTTTTATTATTATTCTGTCTGAGGTTGCAAAGATGAGGAGTGAGGGATTTTGTTTGTGTACTGGGACAACATATAAGCTTTGATAGAGTTCAAAACAAGCACAGTACTAGGAATGGCATTTGCGGACAGACTTTAAAAATGTCTACTTCCAATTCCTATCTATCACATCTCAATGTTTGAATTCTTTTTCTCTGTTCTTGTACATAAAGAAATACTCGGTCAATCTAATGGCAATGATTCACTTCTTCCAGAGTTTGACAGTACATAGCTTCTACTTGGGAGAAGGATCAGATCCCACAGGAGTTCCAACCAAGATGCTGACAACGAACTGCTCTGTGAAAATGACCGTATATAACCCGGCAACATTTTTTGGGATTCACGTAAGCTCCAAGTCAGTGAATCTCATGTATTCTGAGATTGCAGTTGCAACTGGTGATGTAAGATTTTTAAAAGTGACCATAACTTTTTTAATTTATAAAGATTGGCTCCACAGCAAACGCAAACCGCAGAGAACTTTTGCATATTGATTGCCACCATTCTTTAATTCAATGTTCATATACATTTTGCTGCAGTTGAAGAATTCCTATCAGGGAAGAAAAACCCACAAGACTGTGCATGTCAGTCTCCAGAGAAGCAGGGTTCCTTTATATGGTGCTGGAGCAAGCTTGGCTGGTTCAATTGACAATGGAGTCCCAGTGAAGCTAGATTTCGAAGTTAAGTCACGAGGTAATGTTGTGGGGAAGTTGGTGAGGTCAAAACATCGAAAGCATGTTACTTGTTTGTTTACTATCACTCCCCACAGCAACAAACCCATAAAACCTAAAGAGAATGCTTGTACATACAACTGATGATGATGGTCTTGCTGCAACCTGGTAGTGCTAGGCAGGAAATGAGAAAAAATTTTACTAGGAAATGTTTTAGACTTGTGAAGCTTTAGTAGCATCGCTTTTCAACGGGGAATGGGATGGATAAAATCTTGAAGGTGATAATTAGTCCTTCACTCACCCATCTACTCCACCTTGGAATAAGCTGTCCTTCCTGTTATTTGAGCTGCTTTTTGCCAACCTGTTATCTAAGCTGCTATTTCTAGCGACATTGCTGCGTTGTGTAATTAATTATAGAATCAATAATGTTTCTAGACGTGTTTTTGTTCTTGTTTGCTTCATTTGTGTGTGTGTTTTGGTTATGGCCAATGGATATACTCCTCCGGTCCTTATTAGAAGACCCCATTTGACTTTTTATTTGGTCCTAATTATAAGACCCCAATCCATTTTGTCTCTTATATTTATGCATTTTTTTCCAAGATAATCCTTCTAATAATGATAGTTTTAGCCAATATACTTAATTAGCAAGGATATTTTAGGAATGACAACACTTATTTATTATAAATAACCAACTTAACTTACTTCCTTAATCTCCTCAAATAAGTTAATTGGGTCTTATAATTAGGACCGGAAGAGTATAAATATTATATCAGTTAATATTTTTTTGTTTGACATTCTTTTTCATCATGTTCCCAGCTCTGTCATCATACATTAGAGTGAGACCCTTGATCTGCTTCCTCTATTGTCCCACTCTAGTTAAGCCACTTGTTCTCATATATCAAAAACATATATTGAATTGATAAATAAGTTTTAATTTATATTTATAAAAGTTTTTCCTCTCTATATTTAGTTATTTATCTTTTCTTTTCCTTCCTCTCTGTCGCAAGAAAATTAAATAAAGATAAAATTAAAAAATAAACATTCAATTTCCTACAAGTAACTTATATTTAGAATAAAAAAAAACTTTCCACAAGTTACTTATAACAGGACCAAAGTGACATGATAGAAGGATTCTACCGTGTTTTTTCCCGCTCGAAAGCTGATGGAGCAAAGGATGCTTGTGTTTCCATTTGAAAGTTGTTTTAAGAACCTCAGGATGAGGGACTTTAAATAAAAGGGAAAATGACAGGAATTTCAATATGATAAATAAATAATTTTGACAGATTTTAAATAGTAAAAATTATTACAAGTATAGTCAAGATCATTACAAAAGTAATTGAACAAAACTTATTTGTTTTTTTTTAAATTCAATAATTATTTTTCTGTCATTTTTTCTAAGTAGAACGCTCTTCCATGCATGGTTAAAGCATGCCCCAAAGTCAAGAGTCCAAGTTTTTTAACGCAATTACCCCAAATACATCCCTCGGTGTTTACAAAATTATTGTCAAATCTGCAACCTACTGTGTTCTGCTATCTTGAAAAACTCAGGAGTTCCGCTTTACTTTGTAGATAGAGCTGAAAAATGCTCTTGGCGGTCAAAAGGTATTGAACATGATCATTCAAGAGAAGGAATGCGCAATCATTGCTAGTATAAAACGCCTGTACCTAAAAATCTTCGTCTATCAAAATATTACATGAACCAAGAAGGGCCATAAAAAAATTGGCCCCAGTACAAGTCCTATTCCTTTTACAGAATCAACATTGGCTAATTTATCTTACAATTCACAAAGAAACATCCCTTAAATTGCTGGATGGGTGAAGAAGTTTCATTGAGAAGCTAGGCTAGTCCCCTGGTCACTTTCAACAGGACAACTTACCTCAGGAACTGTGCCGCCAATCCTATTTGGTGGCCAATACCGAAAAATTGATCTGCCTATGATGTTCTTGGCTGGCAGGGGGCCCCTGAATAAATCATATTCATGACATGACAACATCAATATAATGGGACAAAAACCAGATGATTAAAATGATGAATCTGGAAAATTATGAATCTAAAACGCCTACCACACATGCGAATCATAGCTGTTGTTACGGTTGTCTCCCATCACAAAAACGTAATTCTGTGGCACACGCTGCGAAACAAGACATTATTAATACTAAATGATACTTGCTCTGAATCTAATATCCTATCCCTTTAGTATAATCTTCTCAAGAAGGATTGAACTAAATATTCCCTCCCCTCCACCTCAACCCCATGAAACTACAAATCCCCACTTCTTTCTTTGATGCCATGCCTCAAATTCAAGTAGCCCAAAAGAACTGCAAGAAGGCGAAACCACATGGCCTAAAATGGCTTGCCTATTGTAGCCAACATTATATAGTGTAATCTAGACCCCTCATATCTAATACGGCCACGTGAGAATTAAGCCTTGCATTTATGTACTTACTGTAGGCGTCATGTCATAAGAGGGTGGTTCGAGGATGAACTTTTCGTTCCTTTCAACCCCATTAACTATAAGACGCCCTTTATGAACCTGAAACAACAAAGTTGCTCTTAGTTGAAAAGAGCAAAGAACTAAATCAAACGGAGAAAACTGAGTAACAAGAGAGATGTGAAAGCCTTAGTGACCGGGGAAGGGGGGCAGCCCTTAACCCAATCATCCAATTCACTACAATAGATAGGCATGGCTCCGTAGTCAAAGCAACTTTGGAGCCTTACGCTATGTTTGGTACGGGGTTTTCGGAGGGGAGGGGAGGGAAGTTGCTCCCCTCCCCTTGTTTGGCTGGTATAATTTTTTAGAAGGGGAGGGGAGCTCCTCCCCTCCCCTCGTTTGGTTAAGATGTTTTTTAAAGAGGGGAGGGGTTTTTCTCCCTTCCCCTTCCCTTCTAGCCTCCCCTCCAAAAGTGGGGTTTTTTGGAGGGGAGATGAGAGATGATATTTTAATTCCTTATATGTCCTTTTGATTTGTTAACTTCTAATTAGTCATAAACATTTCTACATAAGAGAGTTCTTTTGAGCATCTAATAAGAGGTTATTAAGATAATTATCTCCAAAATTAGTAAGCATTTGTAAACTTTTTTTCTCTTCTTCTAATTCTAAGAGTCCGTTGGTATTTTCTTTCACCTTCAAGGTCTTTTCTCTGATTGAAATCTATCACTTGTGAGTTTTTGTCTTGATATTCTATAAGTGTGTGACTGTATCTTGTAAATCAAAATTAGTGAATTATATTATATATATATATAGTTATATCTTAACAAAATAAAAAGTGAGAAAATTCATTTAAATTTTATGAGGCTAAAATAGTCAATTTTTTATTAGAACAAAATAAGGTATTATTAAAATTACTCCCTCCCCTCCCCTCCAATCAATCCAAACAGGAGATCATTAAAATCCCTCCCCTCCCTTCCCCCTCCCTCCCCTCCCCTTTGTAGCTACCCTCCCCTCCCCTTCCCTTGATTAAAATCCCTCCCCTCCCCTTCCCTTGATTAAAATCCCTCCCCTCCCCTTCCCTCCGTCGAGCCAAACATAGCGTTAGTGACTGAATTTGTAAAACAACAATACGCCAATTCTACATATGTACCCATACCAATCAGGTTCATTCACAGTTTTGAAATAAAATCAAGATTTGCAATTCCTTATGTTGTTACTTGTGACATTTTCATGTGCGTCTGTGAAAGTTATCTATAGTGCAAGACAAACAACAAAAGCACAAATAATAATGTAATTGCAGGGACCATAATATCTTTTCTTTCTTTTCCCTAGAAGAAATTAAATATTGGATTGAGACTACTGTACAGATTATGAAATATCAGTATTTAGAAGGGATTTTCCCGGATTTTGGACAAACTCTAATTTTGTTTTGTGGAATAAAAAGTGTTTCTGGAAGTGCAATACGAATTTTGAGTTTCTTCTAGTCTGTCCTGATTTGGTTTATTTGCCATTGCTATCAGGAAATGGAACAGTTCATAGTTACAACTCTGACCCACTTTAATAAGGATAAAAGGAAAAGAACATATGAAATGAGAGTATCAAAATCTTACCTCCACAATATCGCCTTCTTTTGCAACCACTCGTTTTATAAAGACATCATCATCGGTGTACCCAACTTCCTGAAGGATTGGTGGGCTTTTAAATATTACTATGTCATTTGTGCAAGGCTTTCTAAAATAGTATGAAACCTGAAACAATGAAGATGCATCTTTTAAATGACAATGTATCATAATGGGAAGGCTCGTTGGATGGTGATATCAAAGTCAAAATTCCAAAGCAATGCAATGCTTCTGGAATGCAATGCAAGCTTCTGGAGGTGAAACTATAAACACATTTAACTACAAAAGATAGACCTGGAAATTGAAATCTTCACATATGCCTAGCACTCAAAATGGCAGTCTCAGATACACACTTACAACACAGAATACTTTAACACTCAAAGAAAACGGTTCTACTTCAAGTATGTACTCAAATTTCACATTACGAAAGAAAGAACACCAACCTCCTCACCCACATGAAAATTAAAGAAAGCTTAAAAAAATAAATACAGAAGAAGAAAAAGAAGAAGCGTTGAACTACCTTCTCTGCAACAATTCGATCTCCAACATCAAACGTAGGATACATTGACAAGGAAGGAATGTACCTAGGCTCGGCCACAAACGACCGAAACGCAAGCGAGATTGCCAGTGCCGCAAAGACGGTCTTTGCATCATCAGAAGTGAAATTCAACCAATCCGGCAAAGGTCCCGAAGACCCATCTTTTTTCTGCACCTCTCCATCCTCACCACCATCACCGCCGTTACCACCACTCCCTCCGCCATCATCGCCGCCACTGGAGTCCAAGACAACCTTAGTTTCTTCGCCGGAATCCTTAAAAGCATTGCAATTAATCTTCCGGCCATGGAGTCCACAGCTTTGGACTCTGTAGCAAAAACCGTTGGTTAGGGCTTTGGAACTTGGGTGGAAATTAAAGGGGCTAACGGGTTTGAAGAGGTGAATGTGGTCCGAGGTAAGGTTTTGCAGCGACGGCAATGAAGGAAGGATATTGAGGGATCGCATTTCTGCCTAGCCCTTCAAAGATTGATATGTCTCTGCAATATCTTCAGCTTCCTTCCGTCTTGATAACGTGATTGGGGTTTCAACTGTGGCCCCCTCTTGAGCTCAAACCCAAAATCCACAGAAATATGAAAATTTGTCCGTACTCTAATCAGTAAAGATTGGATTTTTTTTTTCCAAATAATAAGGATATCCATATAGAAGAAAGAAATAAATTAGAAAATCTGGTTCCTGTTATACAGATTGATACGCTCCTGAAGAGAGTTGTCAATGATGGTCAAGTAATTTGTTAAGTAAGAATGAGATTTGCCATAAAATTTTATTCATCGTGAAACGTCAGTTGATTGTTTTTCCCAGCAAGTAAGACTATAAAATCCGTTTGAATTAGTAATTAGAAAAGTAATTTATTGTGAAAAGGTTAAATTCAGTAATATGAATATTACTGTATTCAGATTAGATTTTATAAAAATTAGTCTGTAAAAATAATTTTTTTGAATTATGATTAAATAAGTAATTTTAGTTTATAAAATTAACAAAATAAATAAGAATTTCATTAAATATGAAAAGTAAAAAAAGTTATCAATTTACATAATATAATAATTTTAAATTATTTATAAGCTTATGTTAATATGATATTTTTTTATTATTTATTATAAGGGCATATTTGAAAATAAAAATAGATTTCTATAGGCATACTTGAAAATAAAAATATATGTTTAACTTATTTATTACTTTCAACTAATTTTAAATGATTTTTTATTATTTACAAATTAGTTATTTGAGGCTTATAATAAAAATTAGATGATATACTAAATTTCTTAACTTTTTCTCTCTTTATGTTTCAAAAGTCATAAGTAGCTAATTTTTACTTATAATTTATTGTAGCTTTTTATGCAAAAGTTAGATTACTCTATGACCAACTCGAATACCACAAAATTTTTAAATGTCTTTCTGTATGAAAAAAAGTAACTTATTGCCCTCCAAAACTAAGTCAAACAGGCTCTAAGGTTGTTTAGTTTCTTGTTTTGAAAACAACTTGTTATTTAAAAATAAAAAATTTTGTTTGATCATTTGTTTTTAGTTAATTGTTTTAAAAAAAAACAAAAAAACAATAATCTGTTTTTAAAAACTAAAGAATAAAACAACTTTATTTTTTTGTGGTTTTTTATTTTTTGTTTTGTAAAATTAAAGAAGTCTTTTTCTCTTCTCACCAATCATCCGTCACTTGTTATTATCAATGACAACTACCACCTGCCAAGTATGATTTTATATGTTTTTTTTAAATTATTATCCAAAAAAAGTTTTTTTTTTGTTTTTAAAAACTTATTCTAAAAAATTGTTTTGAGAATAAAAAATACAGGACCAAAAAAAAACAACAGGCCCTGTTTCCTCCCTCACCCTTCCCCCCGGGCGGCGGGGCGCTTTGGTGAACGAGACTATTTCTCTTACGTGCGAGTAATATAAACTTCTCAAAATCAAAGGTGAACCTGCAAACACTCACACAATTCACAGAGATATATATATATATATATATATCTACACAGATACATATATCTCTCTCTACCTGTACAATATTTCATGATTGGCGTCACGAGTTTTAACATCTGTATCACCATATTTTTTGTCATGATATTTTTACAAGATTAGAAAAAAATTTTAAAAAATTATTCTGAGTATTGTTTATTTTTGCTGGAATCAATTCTCTTAATATGACTTCTATCCACAAAACTTGAACATCAACTTTGCCTTAAGAAGGATTGAGTTCTTAATCATAAAAAATTATGAATGAATAATGAATGAGGCCAGCAATGTGAATGAATAATATCGGGTAGGTGTGTGAGGAAAACCCAAGTTGTATTGGGCATAGGGCGTAATGAACCTATCAGGCCCAAAGAACTACATGGTCAGAAAAATGTACATCCAGGTGAACCTTTAAAGTTTAAAATTCAAAGGGATGCAACGAACAAACAATGAAAGGGACTTGTACCAAAAACAAAATTAAAGGGATTCCCAGGCCCAGAAGTATGACTGCTCAATGCTCATGCTTATTGAATGCTTGAAAGCTTTAAAGAGAAGGAAAACAATGTGGGTTAGTCCGTAATAAATCAAGGTTTGAATTCTTATTAAAAGAGGTGCTTACATTTAATGTTTCACGGTACCTCAAACAAGATTACCTCTAATAAGATTATTCCTATGCTTATCAAAAAAAAAAAAAAAAGAAAAGAGACGAAGGAAAAGACAATTTTTTTGCTTTTTGGTCCTTCATTTTCTTTTTATACAAAACCCATAATAAGAGAGGGGACAAAATAGACTAGCCCCCTTATATTTCAATGCGTAGATGTCTACAATCAAGTTGGGGAATACCAAATATGAATAGATATCACCAATTACCTTGTATTCTAGTAGCATAAGAAAACTCTTACTAGTGGGAGGTCACAAGTACAATTTCGTTTGAAACTTCACGCCGTTTCTTCTGATTTAAAAAAAATTAAAATAATGAATAGATATGCCATATGATGGGCATACTGAGCCAGTCAGTTTGTGCAGGACTACGATTCTCAATGAAGAATTTATGTGCCAAGCAACAATACATATGTGCGTGTGCGCGTGTATATTATTACTCTTTATGAGCATTTAAAATTCATTTGAAGTTGAGCTATATTGGGCGTGAGACCACGCCATGGCCATGTGCATGCCAACCTACTTTACAGGTCATATACGCTTTGAAGCATTTGGTAATTTAGCGTTCGCCAACACCAACTTGAGGTCCACTTTATAGTTCTTTATGCAGAATGGCATGTGCCTGTAATATGGTGGCACATTTGTCCTGCGTCAAACGTCCCTTTTCAATGATTGATCCTATGCATGTGACTCAATATCTAGCATCTCTGTCCCAATGAAAAAGGCATATCTTCCTCTTCATTTACTAGATTTTAGCATCCAAGGGGAGGACAAAGTCGCATGCAGGGATGAACCTGAGATCGAACATTCATGCACCTGGAGCATTTGCAAGATCTAAATTCTGCTACAAAGTTACTTTCAAATTCTGTCACCTTTGAGGACTGAAGATGCAACTATTTATCTGGCCAGAGGTGAAATCACTATTTTTCTTATAAACCAAAAGGGAAATAATGTTACAGTTTGGTTGAGAATGACAAGATCTAGGAAACTTACTCCATATGACAAGTTTGAAAATCAACAGGCTAACAACACCAACCCTACCCACAATTCCAACAACCAGCAAAATGACAGATAAACAGCAGCCAAAAAAACAAATGAAAGAATGGAACTGGTGTTTTTATTTGTTTTATAATTAAAACCCTTATAGATACAATTTTTAAAAAAGAAGTTAACTCACTCAGAATGTCAGTCAAAGCAACCAAAGTGAGACTGACAGGTGTAAAAAAGGAAGATATAGATTTATACAAGTTAGATGGAACAAGATGCTATGAACTTCCACTGAAACCTTGGCTGTTCTTCATCTTTCTCAGCTCCATTTCCCTTGTGGTCTGGCGACTCTGGCCTTCACTGCTTGAACCAGAAGGATACAAGCCATACTCACTCGTAGGTGGTCCGCTGTACTCGCCACTGGCACCATACTCATTGGTTCCTCCACCAAATGCCATTTTTCTGAACTTTTTCATGTCCTCCTTGTATTGAACTGTGTCATAATCTGAACTTCCATGAGAACTGTAGACAGAGCTATGGCCGGGCTTAATTCCTTCATTAAGGTCCGCTAGAGATACATCTCCTTCCAGAGCACGAACAACCTGTGATGCATACATGTTAGATACACAAGAAACATTCTTAAATGTAACAGACAGTAATATGAACAAACAAACGGAAGAAAAACTGGATCATGAAAAATAATTAGAACAAAAAAAACCAAAGAAAAACTGGGTCAAATTACCTGGCTCATCCTTGGCCTGCGCTTTGCTGAATGTCGTATGCAAGCTGCAGCACATGCCACCATACGAGCCATCTCATTGGGGTCATATTCATGTTGGAGTCTTGGATCAACCACGGAGTCAAAATTTTCATCTTCTAAAGCACGAGCGAGCACAGGCCTTGCCTGCGGTGACAAAGATGCAGTTAAAGGCTACTCTGTGGCCCTCAGAAAAAGAAAAAAAGGGGAAAACCCTTTCTTGTTGCCTAAGAGCTTATGATTCCAATTTCAAATTTAGGCCCAGAAAATGGAAGGTGTACTCAAGCTTACCCAGTCTACCAAACCATCCTCCATAAATGTATGCCCTGAATCAACTGGTCGGCGTCCAGTAATTAATTCCAGAAGCATGACTCCAAAGGAGAAAACATCTGATTTGTCAGTGAGTTTCCCACTAGAAGCATATTCTGGAGCCAGGTAACTGCAAGCAGCAATTAATGTGAGCTTGAAACAATGCCAAATAACAGGTACAAGCAAGCAGCATTTTCACCTCTTTTTCACTTTTGAGGTTCTTGGAAAGATAGAAAGTAGTCTTACCCAAATGTCCCCATCACTCGAGTGGAAACATGAGTATTAATATCAGACGTAAACTTTGCAAGTCCAAAATCTGCCACCTGCCAGTATAAAACAACATGCCACAGTAGAACACATGAGCACCAGTAATAAAATTTAGGATGCTAACAAGAAAAATGACAAGCATACCTTTGCTTCAAACTTAAAATCCAGAAGAATGTTAGCAGCTTTGATATCACGGTGGATGATCTTAGGATGACCTGTACACACAGGTATTGCAATTAACATTAAAATTGAGATGATTCAGTTTCTGCTGATGAACTTAAAGTCAGGTGCATGGCACATACAGTCCTCATGAAGATACGCCAATCCTTTTGCTGATCCTAAAGCAATTTTCAGTCTTGTGGGCCAGTCCATGGTAGGCCTCCCTTTTCCTGCAGTTCAAACACCCATCAGATGCCTCCTGCTGCTAAAGTCACTATGCCACAAAACAGAAGTGCTTGCAGCTCAATTTCAACTTAGCAAGGGTTTTTCCACAGGAAGAAATGAGGTTTACCGTGCAAGTGAAACTCCAATGTATTGTTGGGAACAAATTCATAAACAAGCAACCTCTGTGTCCCAGTAATGCAGTATCCAACCAAAGAAACAAGATGTTTGTGATGAACCCTACTAATAATCTCAACTTCAGCTTGAAATTCACGCTCCCCCTGCCCACTTCCAGCCTTAAGTTGCTTCACAGCCACTTCCTTTCCATTAGGAAGAATGCCTCTGTGCACATAGCCAAATCCACCTTGTCCAAGGAGGTTGGCATCAGAGAAGCCATCTGTTGCCCGGGCCAGCTCCTCATATGTAAATGTACTCTTTGAGAAACCCAGTCCAAAGCCTGGAGAAGGAGGTGGAAGAATGTTTTCACTGCCTGAATAGTTAGAGCCAGAGCCACCACTGCTGCTTATGAAAGCAGGCGGTGGCGGTGGAGGAGCATAAACGGGTGAGTGGGCAGGCCGTGATGCAACTGGTGGTGGTGGAGGCGATGGCTTTGGCATTACTGAGACCACGTGATCTGAAGGAGGGGGAGCATTGTGTTGCCACTGACGCTGTGGGCCACCATATGGATCAACTGGCAATAGTGAAAAAAATAGTATGAAATTAGTCAAAAACACCATCGTCATCTTAGAACAATGTCAGGCAAAAACCTAATGAAAGAAGGATAAAAACAGAAGCCATTTCATCATAATAACAATGATTTGTTATCCGATACTAAAGTCAACTAAATCAATGCGCACACGAACATACATAGATCGCTTTATATAGCTGTAAGCTGTATATGAAAAAGAACGAACTGAAACATTAATCCTGAAAATTGATAGTTTGATAATCCGAACCCATCGAAGTGTTAAAGTCGACGAATGGATTAAAGGATAAAAGATTCGATTTAGATCCTCGCACCCTGAAGATTAATTTTGTGGGTATGATCAGATCCCGCAAGAGAAAAACAGTGCAAAGGTCAGTTTTTAAAAATAGTGGAAAGCACCGAACGCAAGCGCGTGCTACAAAGAAATTGCAGCAGCTGAGGAATTCTAATTCCTGCCTAATTCTAACTGAATCAAGATGAAAATGGATTCAATTATGTACACTAAATATTATATATCATACATATTTAAAAAAAGGTCTCACCTTTGGGTCCCTGAGGCGGTACCGGCGGCGGCGCATAGTATTCCTCATCACGTCTTCTCTTCTTCTTCCTACAGCAAATGCAGAGAATACTCAACACAAGAAGAACCGCCACAGCCCCCACGGCAATGGCGACAACAACCCCAGTTGATATATTACTCGATGAGGACGATGACGAAGGTGGAGACGGCGACGACTTCGACGAAGACGGTGGCGGCGGACTTCGATTCGGAGTCGAAGGCGAATTTGAGCTCGACGGAGGAGACGGCGAATTTGAGCTCGATGGAGGAGACGGCGGGCTGTGACTCGCCGGACTCGGTGGACTGTTGGTACTGGACGGTGGAGGAGGCGACGCTGAAGATTCTGGTGGTGGTGAGGTTGATGATGGAGGGGAAGGAGAAGGAGGGCTCAGAGAAGGTGTAGCCGGAGCTGGAGGAGGAGATGAAGGAGTCGCCGGCGGCGGAGCAGAGGGCGTGGCTGGCGGCGGAGCAGAGGGCGTAGCTGGCGGCGGTGATGCTGGTGTGGACGGTGGAGGAGCTGAAGGGCTGGGTGGAGGGGAAGTATTGTTGGTCGCCGGAGCCGGCGGCGACTTGGGTGCCGGCGCAGCACCGGGAGACGGCGTCGCTGACATTGCCCAAAAAAGAATCCGAAATAAAAAAAAATGAAACTTTTAGGCCGCGATTACTGGCTGAAGCTGCGTCTATTTCACCCTATGAGAAGTTGAAACCTTGGGAGAGAGAGGGAGAGAAAAAATGGAGAGACAGTGAAGAGAGAGATGAGGGGAGGGAGCACCAGACGAAAGAGAGCGTTTCACACCTTTCAAGCATATATTTTCCCCCCCTTCTTTTTTGTTTTTCTTTAATTTTCCGGAGACGAGTGAGTGGGGCCCACGCGAGGCGAGCCGCGTTTCCTACGCAGTTACAGTGGTCGTTTTGGATTCGTTCATTCTGTTTGTCTGTTGGGTCATTGGTCCGTATCGACGGTTCCTTTTTCTTCTGTTTTTATCAATAACCATTTTTCTTCTATTTTTAATTATGCCTTCTTCTTTTTTTTAATTCTCACCTACTTTAACAATTCTTTTGTTCCAACAAAACTCAATAAAAATTTTTGAACAGAAATTGTTTCTAGTTTAAAAGGAGATTTAATGACTTTAATAATTAACAAATTTTAGAAAATTATACAATTTAATTTTTACAGACATAAAATTAGATGGTGCTAAAATAAAAAATACTTACCAAAATCTACGTATGGCTCAAATTTTAAAAATATTTATAAATCGATTCTAGGACTCGCATTTATGAATTATTCAAGTCCTTCCATTGCTAACGGAGATTTGAACCCATCATTATGAATTATAAAATGCATTCTTATTGTTTGAATTAATCTTTATTAGTAGCATAATTTGCATTTTGGTGCACAGAAGATGAAGTTTAATAGTAAATGGAATTATTTCGAATTCTAGAGCTCGTTTTTACATAAAAATTACCGAAATTCATTTATGCTTATGAATTATTCAAATTCTCACATTAAGAATGGACATTTGAACCTATTATTGTGAGCTATAAGATGCATCCTCCCTTTTAAGTTCAATATTTATTAGTAACATAATTTGCATTTTGATAGATTAACATAGAAGTCAAAGTTTATAACAAATGAAATTACTATTCCGAATTCTTTATACTAGCCAGAACAATCTTTGTTGGCAATATAATTTACATTTTGATATACTAAATGGAATTGTTCCTATTTATGAGCTCCTTGTGGCATAAAAATTATGTCTTCCATTTCTCACATAATAAATGAAATCACTTAATGGAAAGTTAAATATTTGATTTCATCCAGATCATGAACATGATGCTAATTCAAGGAAAAAACTTGGTAAAGGCAAACAGTATGATCCAGACTAGTCTTAAAAGGCCTGCAGGTATTTCTATTTTAAACAATTTTTCATTAATAAATAATGGAGGATAATTACAGAATAATTAACATTCCCAAAGCATACGATTGCCTTCTAGTGAGATTCCCTTCTTTTTATAGTGACTGCACTATTAAGGGGCCGTTTGAAAATACTTATAAATAGGTTTTTAATCATGATTAATAAAATATGAGATAAATAGTGAGAAAAATTTTATCCCAATTTATATAAAATATAATTATAAGTGTTTATTTAAGGTATTTCAAATAAGTACTAAGTGGATTAGATATTAAAAATGGTACGAAGGTATCTCATTCACCAGTAAATCTTGCAATTTCTTTTTTTTTTTTAAATCTAATGATTATGTTTCTTCAAATAATACTTACAAATGATTATTATTTTGATAATTAGGAGGGGATACATGAGAGCATTTTTATAAATACTCCATTGCCATTTTTTTTTGAGATAAGTATGACCTATTTATAAGATATACATAAAAAAATCTTTAAATCTTTAAATAAATTTTTTATTTTTATTCTATTAATTATATATTATATCACGCATTAATAAATTTTTTCATACATTTGTTCTACTCATGATCATTTTTTCTCTCCACAAATAATGGTATTTTGAAAAAGTAAAATACACATTTTATATGTTTGTTATTTTTAATTGACTTTTTATATACGTGAGCCAGTTATTTGAATCTCATATATAGGATATAGGATCAGAGAGTAATTTGACTAGGATGTTATGATCTTGTGGTGCAGAATTATTGCATTAATGAGAGCGAGGAGGTAATGAATTAATAATGGTTAGTGAAAATGGAAAATTTTAGAACTTATGAAATTGTTATTCCTCAGACGAAATTAAAGGGCTGTGTGAACAAGAAGACAAACCATAATGAAGACAACTAGAAAAGTAATCTTGTCATTACAGTTGGCTATTCAACCGTTGAACTCTGAAAGCGAAAGTCATTAATTATTATTTTGATGTTATATAATACTCGTAGTACTTTTGATTAAAAATATAATTAAGACGAGTCCGCGTAGGTTGTTTTGCTGCATGTGCCATGGTAGAAAATTGGTACAGAAGAACATGCTCAATGCCTCTCCTTTGTTTTTTTTTTTAAAGCTGTAAAGGAAAAAAAATGAAATATGCTAAAATTCTAAAAATTAGTAAAGATTTTTAAAATAAATTTTAAAAAATTATAGGAATGAATTTGTGTTTTTTTTCACTACCCTATCAGTCTATCTAACCATTCCTATGATACCTTATGATTATTGAGTGCATTCTTTAAAACAATAATACGATGGCAAAAGAATAATATTATTATGATATTTCTTAATATTGCAGGGATATTTTAAGTTTACCATCGCGATGAATAAATACGCCCTAATTTTATCAAAATAAAATTTGTAATAGCTAAAAGTAATCATTTTAAAACAGACACCAGTAAACTTTTAACTGTTTTGTTTTTTTGGTGAAATTGGATACGTAATTAATTAGTAAACTAAGTTGGTTGCACCGGAATGACAGCAAACGGTTGATTCCTTATACGTTAAAGAAAGTAACCATATTTTTACTGTAAAATTAATGTTTAGTCAAACTATAAATGGCATTAGACTAATTTTTCTAACTAAAATAGAAATTAAATCAGGATTTAATTATTATCTGATATCATATTTATTGCAAAATTGTTAATTTGGAGGAAAGAAAAAAAAAATCTCGATATCTAGTCTAGAATATGACAAATAAAAGTTTCCTAAAATACAAGAGATGCATTTCTTAGTTAATTCTCCTTTTTTTTTCCCTTTTCCCTTCATTTTTTTGTGTGTTACATCTGCTGTGCCTGTGTCATCCAGTTAGGCTTTGTTTGGTTCAATGGAGGGGAGGGGAGGGGAGGTTAATTGAGGGGAGAGGAGGGGAGGGGAGGGGAGATAATGGGTTTTGTTTGGTTGGAGGGGAGGGGAGGGGAGGGGAGATTTCTTGTTTGGTTCACAAGGGGAGGGGAGGGGAGGAGATTATAAATTGACAAATATGCCCTTATCTTTATATTTAGACTGATTTATTCTTTTATTATAATATTTATATCAAAATTATGATTTCCTAATTTATCAATTTCAAAAAAACCTATTACCTCACTTATATGTGATAAAAAAATATGAAATAAAAGTATAATATATATGAGAAAAGTGAATGGGAGAAAAAAAAAGACAAGACCTTAACTATATAATAATACCCTCCACATATTAGAAAATAAAAAATATATATGATATTAATAGTGTCATTTTATAATTATAATATATATTAATATATATAATTAATTAATATATTAATATATATATGCATATTATATTTGTGCGTGTATATAACTGAGCGACCGCGAAAGGAAATGCGCCAAAAAAATATCAAGAGGACACCACTGGAATATTCAAAAAATGACATGGGCATATTTGTCAAGATTCTCATAATATTTCTCTCCCCTCCAAAAAACCCCAATTTGGGAGGGGAGGAGGGGGAGGGGAGGGGAGCACAAAAGGACAAATTTTTTTAGCTCCCCTCCCCTCCCCTCCTCCCAACCAAACACATCCTCCCATCCCCTTCCCCTCCCCTCCCTTCCCCTCCCCTCAAAAAAACCCCAACCAAACAAAGCCTTAAGATTTTAGTAATTTTTTTTTTTTTACCAGCAAGTTAAGATTTTAGTAACTAGTGGTTTAAACTCTACATGAGTTTTATAGCTTAGATTTTAGTAAGCCAAATAATTTTTAATTCTTTTAGACCTGTTTTTTTTTAAGTGCTTTTAATAAGATGAGACGCAATTTTTTTTATATATTTATTTTGTATTGTTTATAAGTCATTCCAAACAAACTTTTTTAATGCCAGGATTTTGGCTTGTCTCGTCCCCTTCTTTATTTATTATCTGAAGTAGATGTTAATTAATTACTTGTAAATATGAATAAATCGAAGTTTCCTGGGCAGTTTTGCTTTTCCAATTGAAAAACCAGAACCACAAGTCAAATAAAGAAAATCTTGGAGTATGGAAGTTAGTTGTGCAATCCTGTTTGTTTGGTCCTTTCATCGCTAATAATGAATCAGGAAAAACCACCGTCAACATTTGTATTATTTCTAATAATTTAGAATATATATTTATGTAGCCAATATAATCAATTAAATAGTACTCCTTCAATTCTTAACGTAGGAGTTAATTAGGAAGTGAATGTTAGTCTCATATATAAGACCTATTTGATATTTTTATTATTTTTTTGCAAATTAGTCCTTATTGATGTTTTCCAATAATAATCAAGTAGAAAATAGAGGAAAGGAATTAAAGAAGATGGTTAGGATATTTAAAAAAATATCATATTAACTAATTTAATAAATATTATTAATCTACTTAAATTAATTCATTAAGTCTTACATTAAGAATTGGAGGAGTAATATATAATAGCACATTAATCTGTACATATTTTTCAGCTTTAAAATCTGAAACAACCAACCACACTATTTATAAATTATTATTAATATAACTTTTTAATTGTGAATATGAATGAGTGGAATAAGGTAGGGCAGGCTTATCTACTTGGTCACTGTCAGAGAGCAAAGAGATCAGACGATTCAGAATATGAAAGCTAGTTGGGCGATCCCATTTATTTAGTAATTTCATGCTGTCACCAGTAAGTTTAATCCCTTGATGATTGAGGTAAAACTTGATTGAGTCAAATATTAGGTCATCCGTTCTTAATATTTATTTATTTATATATTATAAAAATTAAAAAAAAAAAAGAAACATTTTATAATGCAGTGGCTGTTACTCTAAGTAAGAAGGCAAATTAAATAAAACCAGCTGGATGCCAACAGG